CTGGACAAGTCCCAGGCTCTGTCCTTGAGCTGTCATGGCGGCTGGCTGGCCTAGCAGGTACTGACTGTGGGGGCTGACTCCGTGGCTCAGGCTCTGTCCTTGACTCATGCTCATAGCTCTAAGTTGGTGAGGGGTCCCAGACAGTAAACAATTGACAGAACCTTGAGCAATCAGAGTACGTGCAGAAAGGGAGCTACTGCAAGGACTATGTCTTTTGTTCATGGCGCTCCCAGAAACTGCTTGCTCAAGCCTCAGGAAACTGAAATTGAGGCCTGATCTCTGAGAGAAGACTGAGCAGCCTGTTATGGTTGCCTGCTTGGTCCTTTCATCAGAGATGAGAAAATAGATAATACAGAGCCTATGGAGTTACAGTGTTACTCGGGGGAGCTTCACAAACTAGCTGCTTGATCCCCAGGCCCTTCCCTGTGTTCCTTGCTCAAGTGTCCACTCCACTGAGGTCCCCACCTCAAGTGATTGTCTCCACTATTCCTTCATCTCGGAAGTCCTCCTGTATCCTGGTACTGTGGTTTACCAAGGGCCGTAGATAGTAGATGAGGATAGCGCACTCACCCTCAGCTCACCCTATAACAATCACCATTCCACAGTGTGGCCCAGAGCAGCCCTCTCCCTCCCCCAAGTTTCCCCCAGCCTCTGGAGCTATCAGCTCTTTGCTTATTCCTTCTTCACTCTTCTACTCCCCACACCTTTCTCTACAAACCAGAACCCCCCCCCCACCTTCTCATGGAACCCGAGCCAGGCCTGGTGTTTTGTGGGTGTTCTTAGCCCCTTGGGGTGTGAGCATGGAGAAGGGGGCTGGATTCCCAGTTCCAGCTTCAATCTTCAGCCGGTTCACACTGCAGGCAGTTTTTGGTTTTGTTTTGTTTCATTTTGTTTATTTCAAGACAGGGTTTCTCTGTGTAGTTTTGGTGCCTGTCCTGGATCTCACTCTGCGGACCAGGCTGACCTTGAACTCACAGAGATCCGCCTGCCTCTGCCTCCCGAGGGCTGGGATTAAAGGTGTGCGCCACACCGCCCCCTGGGGGCAGCTCTTAATATGACTGAGCTTCAGCTCTCTTACCAGAAGTGTGGCTGTGTGTAGTAGCCTATCATCTCAGAAAGCCCTAAACCCTTACCGTAGTCTCTGCTCCTGCCTCGGTGTGAGTCCCCACACACCTGTTTCCTGCTGCTCTTACCTGTCCCACTCTCTGAGTTCCTGACCCACTGGCTTCTTGGAGTTCTTTCACCTCAGGGACTTTGCATTTGCTCTCCCATCTGACATGGAATACTTTCATAGTAGAGGTACATTTGGTTGCTCTTTTACAGAAATCAAGTCCTTGCTCAATGGCCCCCTATTTTCCAAACCATCCTTTCTAAACTGACACCTTGCCCCCACCCCTAGCACCACCTTGCTAAACCCAGGGAGGGTTTTAAGAGCCTGGGGCTTCAGTTCCAAACCTAGTTAAGAATTTTCACCTTCACCTGGGTGGTGGCAGCATACGCCTTTAATCCCAGCACTCAGAAGGCAGAGCCAGGCAGATCTCTGAGTTTGAGGCCAGCCTGGTCTACGGAGAGAGATCTAGGACAGGCACCAAAACTACAGAGAAACCCTGTCTCGAAAAACCAAAAAAAAAAAAAGGTTTTTCACCTTCATCTTCATTGTCTGTAAACGGGGCTAATGAGAGTAAGCGCCTCTCAGCAATGATAGCTCTCAGGCACAGCCAGAAATACGGTTATGTTTGTAATGTACCTGGCAATTTGTCAGCTGCAGAAGACTCACACTCCTAGTCCTCCCAAGACCTGCATGCCCAACCTCTCCAAACTCAGGGGAGGACAGTCATAGGAGGAAAGAAGAGTGGAGGCAGGCTGTGTCACATGGCACTCTGGTCTCAGAAACTTCTCCTTTAAAACACAAATCTTCATGGCTGTGGGACTTGGAATTTGTTTTTCAACTTTTTTGTTTTTTAGGACAGGGTTTCTGTGTCGCCCTGGCTGTCCTGGAACTCACTCTGTAGACCAGGCTGGCCTCGAACTCAGAGATCCACCCACCTGCCTCTACCTCCTAATCACTGGGATTAAAAGTGTGTACCACTACCAGCCAGCATCGTTTTTCAACTTTTAATTAAGCTTTATTGTGGTATAATTCACAAATTCCATCACCTTTGTGCCTGAAAGTCAACAACTGAAATTTCTACTCCCAAAGGCAGTGACTATGCTTTATATTAATAGAATCACACAGTATGTAGTATTCCCCGCACTGTTCCCAAAGGCTAGTGACTACACTTTATATTAATAGAATCACACAGTATGTAGTACCCCCCTATTTTTAGAGGTGAAGCTAAAAGGTGGATGAACATAGATCAAACCCATGAAAAGGCACAATTTGAGGTATTCTAGCATTTCCTATTAAAACCACCACCACATAAAATAATGAATATATTTCTCATCCTAAAAAGGTTTTTCTTCTATTTTCCATCACCCACTCTCCTGTATAAATTAGGTCATATTTCTTTCCAGAACTGTGTAAGAGTTACCCGGCACGTGTTCTTTTGTGCCTGGATTCTTCCACTCAGCAGTATTTTGATTCATCCGTGCTGTCGGGTCTCAATTCCACTTTTGTTCCCATTGTATGGCGATGACACAATTTGTCTATTTATTTATTGGTGAACACAGGAGTGTCTTCCAGTTTCTGGACTCTCATAGGAAGAGCCACTATAAATAGCTTGATACAAAAAGTCTATTTGTGAATCTAAGTTTTTATTTATCTTGCCGAATACCTAGACATGGCATTAATTAGCTGGGCCACAGGCAGGCATACAGTTAACTTGGAAAGAAACTGACTTTTAAATTTTTATTTATTACTGTGCGTGTGTTTCTCAAGGCGTCACCGGCTTTTTGGTCAATCTCTGTGCTCGGAAGATAGAAAATGCTCATAAATGTTAGCCATCAAGCATAGCAGTGAGTGAAGGTTACTTTAGAAATTTAAGCAAGTCCAAAATAAAGCATAAAATTTGAATCCAGGATTCACTAAGTGATTCAACAGCTGCAGAAGATTCATATCTTTAACCTCCCGGTTTTACCCCAAATCTTTGTGTGATTGTGGGCACCAGGGGAGAGGCCAGAGGACAACTTGGTGGTTCTCTTTCCACCTCTCTGTCGGCTCCAGGAATTGAAATCTGGTCAAGGGGTTCACTTGGCAAGCGGCTCTACCACTGAGCCATCACCCAGGCTGTTTCACATTCTACCAGTCTCTGTAACTGACTACGGTTTAGCACCAGTCTTGTCCTTACAGCATCCCTCTTGGGCTTACTGCTGCTTCTCCCCGCAATGCCCCCACCACTAGTGACGGCAGGACTAGCTTCTTGCCATTTATCACCCAGACCAGTGTCATTTTCCAGAGACTGCTACCAAATGAATTACACCCCTATCTCAAAATCATGTGAAGTTACAATCCCCAATGGGCTGTTAACCATATTTGGAGATAACACCTTCAAAGAAGTTTAAATTATTAAGTGTGGTGGCTCACACCTTTAATCCTGACGCTTGGGAGGCAGAGACAGGCAGATCCCTGAGTTCAGGGCCAGCCTGGTCTACAGATCCAGTTCCAGGACAGCCAGGGCTACACAGAGAAACCCTATCTCAAAAAAGGCAAAACCAACAACTAAGAAAAGAAGTTTAAATTAAAATGAGGCTGTTGGAACCCTAATCCCATAGGATGGGGACTGATGACTGGTATCATATTGGACTAAAAGAGAAAGAAGCCGGACGGTGGTGGCGCATGCCTTTAATCCCAGCACTAGGGAGGCAGAGCCAGGCAGATCTCTGTGAGTTCGAGGCCAGCCTGGACTACCAAGTGAGTTCCAGGAAAAGGCGCAAAGCTGCACAGAGAAACCCTGTCTCAAAAAACCAAGGGAAAAAAAAGAAAAAAAAAAAAAAGAAAGAAAAGAAATAAAAGAGAAAGGAAAATCATATAAACAAAAACATGGTATTGTTAACGGTCCTGATTTTGATCATTGTATTGAGATTGTGCAAGAAAATCTTTGTACTCAGAAATAAAATATATAGAGATAAAGGAGTATGACATCTAAATTTAAAAGTATTTATAAAAGGATATACACATATACAAAATGTATACATATGCATGTACATATGTTCATAGAACATGAAAATATAGCAAAACAATGTGATTCTGACAAAAAGGGTGAGACTTCTCTACTAGTCTTACTCTGTGTGTGTGCACTTGACACTTAACAGACACAAGCGTCAGGGGCTTTCAGTGTGTGTGCTATCTTAAGTGGTGTAGCCCCAGATTTCAGAAACTAGTGCGTTCTTTTACAGTACATTTCATCTATCTTGTTTGACTACAATGTCTACCATTTATTTTGCAAAACTCCGTTCTGGTCTCAGTACTTAACTCTGTAAACTCTATGAAGACACAAGGTTGATTGTCTCCTCCAGTGGCAAAGAACCACAATTAGGGCAAAGAATGTCATGCCCACTGCTCTTTGAGACTTAAAATAGCATGTAGCAGAAACTCTAGATATGCCCTTCAATATCTAGAGATTCAGCTAACAAATATTAGACATCTAGGCATTAGGGTACAGAGCAGGGCACGAAATATTTAAAAATCCACGTATAAGGGCTGGGGGTGTATGTAGTTCAGTTGGTAAAGTGCTTGCCTAGCATGCACAAAGCCCTGAGTTTGATTCCTAGCTATGTATAAACTGGGTGTGGAGCTGCACGCCTTTAATCTCATTACTCAGGACATGAAGGCAGGAAGAAAAGTTCAAGATCATTTAACTACATAGGCATTGTGTGCTCCCTCCCCCTACAACTGGCGGCCGGGGTGGAGGGGATCCAAATCCAACCCCAAAGCAGCTTATATCAGGGCACTCAATTAGTCAGCCATCGTATTTCATTTGGTTCTTTGCAACCTCGGAAGTGAGGACCACCCTGTTTGGCAGAGAAGGATATTGAGGATTACGTGCGGCTGAGATCACTGGGGTCATTAGTGGGCGTGAGGATCAGCATTCTAACCCAGGCCTGAGCTGTGAATCAATCAAACCTAAGCCATTCACCCAATCAGCATAAAGTGCCGGCGTGGAGCTACTATGCAGGTCAGACGCGGAGAGTGGTTTGCAGAGCGCAGACGACTCGCGAGGTCCCTCAGTACAAGTCGCGGGATTTTGGCGCGCTCTTTTTGTTGGCTGGGTGTTCTTGCCGGTGATTGGTTCCGGACTGTCGCGGCTGCTGGGTCGATCTCGGTTGCACAGAGGCGGCACGGCTCTGGGCTGGCCTCCTGGGGGATGGGCCACCAGGAATCTCCACTGACCAGAGCAGCGGCGGGAGGTGCAGCTTACATAAAGAGGTTACGTAAAGTGCTCAGCTGGCGCGAACTCGAGGACAGCCACGGGGATCTGGAAGCCCAGGCCTCCCCCGGGAGCGTTGCTGTCACTGCAGGAGCAGCGCCGCGACCGGCTGCACGTCTCGCCCGGGTCACCGCCTCGCGCCCTACGCGGCTCGGCAGACAACCTCGGCTCGGAACGGACCATCATCCGGCGCGGGCTCCAGGGGGGAACCGGTCCGCCCGGAAGTGGAACAGCGCCGGGCAGGTAAGAGCGAGTGGAGGAGGAGAGGCCGAAGCGGGAGACCCACACCCCACGGCACTCGGGGAGGGCCGTGGGACGGTCTCGGTTTGTTCTCGGAAGCCGGACTTCTTGCCCGTCTCCACCCGCTGTCCCCAGGGGCTTGGGTCGACCCGCTGAGTCGGTAGGGTTTAATTCAAAGGACTGTTTACACCGGGAGAAGCCCGGGCAGGACGCGGGGAGGGGCTGCGGGGTGCGGGTTAAGCATCAGGAAAAGTTTAAGCGGGCCAGGTCGCCCCTGGAGACGGCTGTCTTCGGTGGTGGAGGTCCTTACTGCCTTTTTCTTTCCCTACTCCTGACGGATAAATCAATGGAGAAAGGGGACGGTTTGTGTTGGGTTTCCGGTCCTCCCTCTGTACTTCCCGGTGGTTCCGTCTTTCCCGCTTTCCTTTCCCCTCCCCCGTTCAATCCGAGGCGGTGGCTCCTTCTTAAAGGGGCCGCGACGACGGGCGGCGGAGGTGGGACGCCGGGCACTTCCAGCTCCTTGCCTGCCCTTCTCGGCCTAGTGGTTTTAATTGATTCTTTCGCCCTCAGATCACAATCCAAGGTACCGCTCCTCCGCATCTCGGGGCTAGACGGAGGGATGAGGCAGGGGGGGCCCGGGCGGCGCCGTTGCTGCTCCCCCCGCCTCCCGCAGCCATGGAAACGGGGAAAGAGAACGGAGCCCGCAGAGGGGCAAAAAGCCCGGAGCGGAAAAGGCGAAGCCCAGTGCAGCGGGTGCTCTGCGCGAAGCTGAGGCCGGCGGCCCAGGCTATGGATCCCGCTTTGGCCGAGGCCCCGGGCGAGGCCTTCCTGGCCCGGCGGCGGCCAGAGGGCGGCGGCGGCGGCGGTGGTAGCCCTGCTCGGCCGCGCTACAGCCTGTTGGCAGAGATCGGGCGCGGCAGCTACGGCGTGGTTTACGAGGCTGTGGCTGGGCGCAGTGGGGCCAGGGTGGCAGTCAAGAAGATCCGCTGCGACGCCCCCGAGAACGTGGAATTGGCGCTAGCTGAATTCTGGGCCCTGACCAGCATGAAGCGCCGTCACCAGAATATCGTGCAGTTTGAGGAGTGCGTCCTGCAGCGCAACGGGCTAGCCCAGCGCATGAGTCACGGCAACAAGAACTCACAGCTGTACCTGCGCCTGGTGGAGACTTCACTCAAAGGTAGAATACTGCAGGCAGTCCTGGCCTCTCCTGGACCCCCTTCTTCTCAGTACTGCTCAGCCTGTCTCTGGCTCACTCAGGCCCTTGCCCAGGCTTTGGGACCTTCTCTTCCCTGAATGCTGCAAAAATGAGTCTGTTCCCCAAACATTACCTGGCATTCTGTAACAAGCTCACTGAGTGCCAACCATGATCCCTCTGAGTATTCACTCAGGAGGTGTGAGCCATAATTACAAGTCTAGCGTTTTAAAGATAGGTGAAGAGTAGGATTCAAAAGTTATTGACCGAACTGCAGAGCCCCCCCTCACGCCTTTTCTCTTCAAAACATTGAGGAAAAAACTTAGTGGACCCACCCACCCATGCTCTCCTGGCTTTTAGTTTCCCGGTATCTTCCAGCTCCATTCCCAAACTCTTGCTTCCAAGTGTGGTTTCCTCTGAGAACTGCAACCCTTCACCCCAGGGCAGACAGTCATTCAGTTGGTTCTCACTTAGTCCCGGAGGCATACAGGTTAATAACTCACAGAGTAATAACCCCCACAGGTGGGCCAAGAGCTTGGATAACAAAACACACCTTACATCTTTTCCTGCCAATTTACAATCTCAGTAGTTTTCATAACCTCTAGGGATGACTGAGAAGTGGTTTTGTAGAAAATGGGGCTTCTGGAGGCCGAGGGGCTTGCATTCCCCGGTGAACTCCAAAAGGTGAGAGGCAGTGGACTAGAGAAGTCTGAGGCTTCCTGTGGCCAAAGAGTCGATGGGAACAATGACTAATCCGAATCCCAGCTATAATCTGAGCTCTAAACAATTGTAGTTAATATCTGTGAAAGTAAATTCTATCTCCATTCTATAAATAGAGAAACTTCGGCTTAGAGGGGAACAAACACAACTTGATTAAGGTTAATCAGCTTGAAGGGGTGAGACTCCTGGCTTCCAAGTTCTTGTGTCCTTGAAGCAGAAATGTTTTGAATCCAGACTTGTCTGAATGCGAAGATCTTCGCAGATGTAATACTGCCTTCCCTACCTAAGGTTGAACTTGTAAGAATGGGTGGGACTAGATAGGGTGATTTCCTAAAATCTTTCTGGAGCATCTGTCAGATTTTGCTGGAAGACCCCAGGAGAATCCCTTGTAGAGTTTTGAAGTAACTTAACAATGGATTGGATGGTGTGATCTATTTCTCTGGGGACCCTTTCCCATATTGCTTGTCCATTCTGAAAAGGCCTTCATTTCCAGGAGGGCGGATGCTTTTTCTTTCTTTAAAGACTTCTTAGGGTGAGTTTTCTACTTTGCCTGCATTCTTATCACTTATTTTGTTAGCCCTTTATAAAAACACCAATTTTTTGATGGTGTACAAATGAATGAAACATACTTAATGAATGGTTGGTGTTTTTATATTTCAACACCCTGGAGTTTGGGGCTTACGTGCATGCAGTCCTGGCTTGTTCTGAACTGATACATGACACTGGACAAGTTGACAACCCATGAGGAGAGTGTCTTTAAGATGGGTATCTCTGTCATGAGGTGGTTGTGCATGCTGGGGATGTCAGTAATATTCCATAAGGAATTCACTGCCACGTTGGTTCAGACTGCTTTCTGAATTTCTTCCATCTTCATCCTCTTAGAGATTGGGGTGCTTACTGAAGTTTCCCAGACTTTGATATGGAACACATTTCCTGTGTGGTCAGAAGAGTAGGTTGAAAGCAGTACTAGTTTTTTCAACCTCCCTTTAGGAGCTAAAACTAGAGAAATTCTGTGAGCTAAAACTAGAGAAATTCATTTTTTTCCTTTGGGCTGATATTACTATTGTTCGTTTCAATCTGGAGTCCTAATATACATTGTCTCTACTAACGAAAATGACAGTCAGGCTTACATGTCAACTTAGCAAAGAAAATAGTACCTAGCCAGACCCTGCTTGCTGACCCTGGAAGTGTCTGTCCTGTGGCCCTGGGTTTCTAGCACGTTGTCCTGTGATAGCAGAGCTGAAGAGACTACTGGAGAGCCAGGGATAACTTTCCTTAAACCCAGAAGTTCTTTGCAACCATTCTTTGCCCTGTTTCTTGTAATTTAGAATTGTTTTGAGATAGCCCAAAATGGTTATCTACATTGGCATCTTTCAAACATACTTTTTAAACTGCATGCCTCTGGTAGTATTGGAAGGGAAACAAGAAAACAAAACACATTTTATAGCCTTTATGAATATTTGAAAAGTTTGAAGGCATAAATAGAGATCAGGGTTAGCTCATTAACCAGGGCTTTGTAGAGAGTGTTGTAGAGAGAATGAAGAGAAAAAGAAGGAAGAGTTAGCAGAAAAGGTGATATTGAAAGGCTAGCGCTCAGGCTTTAAGTGGCAGAGTATTGTAACAATAGACTAGTTATTTCCCCCTCTTACCTCAGCTTCTACTGAATACACAGAAAGCAGTTTTATAGTTTACAGAAATAACTTGATGTACAAATAAGTATCCACAATAAATTTAAAAAAATTAGAAAGAAAAACTGTGTTCTTGGTCATATCCCACTCTGTTAGTGTCTGTGCATTAAATCTTTCTGAGATGGACCAAACAAGTCTTACCCACAAGTACAGTGTGGCCAGAATGAATATCTTATACCTCTTTGGGCCTTTTGTGGGAGAACACATCATGGGGCATAGGATTCCATGTAGCTCAGGCAGGCCTTGAATTTACTGTGTCCAAAGATGACTTTGAACTAAGGATTCTCTGCCTTCAGCACTAGGGCTAAAGGCATGCACCATCATACCTTTTATGTGCTGTTGAGGATTAAACCTAGGGCTTCGTGCATGCTGGGTAAACACTGTCCCAGTGGTGTTCTCTCCCCAGCCCTTAGCCTGTTTCACAAAGAAAGAAATAGGAGCTCTGAGAGGACAGGACTTGCCTAAAATGAAATGATGGCGCAACACTAACTAGCTCTAGAGCTTTAAAAAATGATTACCAGCCCTATAAATGTGATTGATAGGTTAGCAACTGTCTTCCGCTTTGAAGTCCTTCAGTGAAAAGGGGAATTAAGGCTTTAACAGTTGCTTTTATCACCTTTTTTTCCATCCCTAGAAACCCCTGTCCTGAATGTTCTTAAAACAAAGCTTAAGAGCATTGCCACTTAGAAAATAGCAAGCAAGCTTTACTCCTTTTCACACTCCAAGCTGTTGTCCCAGTCTAAATCCTTCTGACAAGCAGGTCAAGATTGACCCCATGTACCCTAAACACATACAAATTCTGCACTAATTCTCATAAAAATAGAAATTTAAAAGAGCTGGGAGGCCAGCTTACTTGTTATTTGATAAGCTCTGATGTCTACTCAAAATTCTTTGGTTCTCAAGATGGGTTTGACCCAGGCATTTGGGCAGCAGTCTTTGCCGCATACGGATGCTGCTGTAAACCTGGTTGCTGTGTAAGAGGCTTTGCAGGCTTCCCTTTATAAGACCTGTACACCTAAGAGATTACGCTGCAAGGTCACAAGTGGTAGCATCCTAATAAACAGGGTCTTGTTGAGAGTTTTGTTAGTGGCCTAGCGAAGCAGGAACAGAAGTAGCTGACTCGGGACCTAGTGTAGGGGACCTAGTCTGGAAATGAATTAACTTCAAACTTCCTGACTGAGTGCCTAAGGAAACCAGCCTGAGGGGCTCCGAGCAGGGTAGTCATCTTTTGCCTAGGCTTTAGCAAAGCAACTCTGAATTCTCTGCTTCTGTGGCTTGGCCTTGGAATGTAGAGACCCTCCAGGTCAATAGAATTGGATGTTCTTTGGCTGTTTTGGCATGGATAAAAGTGGCATGGGGGACTTTCACAATTAATGGGATACAATAGGACAATGGATTTAGGGTCCAAAGGTTTTATTCCCAATTTTACTAAAATTTGCTTGATGAAGCCAGTTGTGATGGCTCTCATCTATAAACCCAGCACTTGGAGGATGAGATAGGAAGATTGCTTTGAGTTCAAGGTCAGCCAGGACTACAGAGCGAGTCCTAAGTCAGTTTGGGCTGAGAGTGAGACCCTGTCTCAGAAACAAATAAAACTTTGCTGATAAGTGTCAAGTGCTGTTGTAAAAGCTTATACCATAGCTCATTCAGCCGTCCTGAGCATCTCTTGAAATGGATACTGTGAGTGTCTCTTTTGCAGGTGATGTATCCAAAATTAGTAAAGTGCATGAAGTTGTATTGTATAGTGTTAAATAGCTGAAGAAGTAACTGAACCCGGAGCTCAGGTGCAGACCTTCTGATTTGAGTTGTCTTTTAACTGCTAAGGGGCTATGCTGGAGAACACGGCTTCAAGTTCAGAATTGTGTTTTGTTGTTGTTTTGGTTGTGAAATGTATGTAATTATACTTTACCGGCAGGATTTAGTACTAATGTATTAATACACACTAATGCAGACTGCTGTTTGTTGAATTCAGTGTTATCCGTGCTTATTGCACGGCTTTCTGTTGGGGCCTTAGTATCTCAGCAGCCAAAGACACTGCACCTGCTTTCTGACCTGTTCTTGGATGCCTTGGGGCAATTGTACAGACTTTTCTCTTGCTACTGCCTGTTTTCCTTCTATGTGTAGGGATTTTAGGAACCAGCCCCAGGAGATAGAAGCCACCCTGTCTTAATTGAGAACATTGATTAATTGGAGTTGCATTGGGTAAGGCTTTTTCTAGGGTAAACTCTCAGGGAGAACTTCACTTCCCTCATAGAGTATCAGTTCACCTTGAATTTGTTCTTCAGTCCTATCCTTAGGGCTAGGAATCCTCCTGAGTGACTCAGATTCTCGATCCTTATTTAGCTGCATCCTGATGAGTAGCTCTCACAAAGCACATTTAAGTCAATCAAAATCCTGTACCATAAAAAGGAATCTGTATATTCTGTAGTTGGATAATCCAGCACTAGGGACTTGATGAAGCTTAAGTTGCTTGGTGTATGCAAGAACCAGCATGTAAGGAGCTTGTGTAACAAGGAAAGTAGAATCTTCAAGTGTGAAAGTGCTGTTAGCTTTGAGTGAGGACTTCTGAATCTTGCCCCCAATTAGCTTCGAGACTACAGACAAATAGTTAATCTTTTGAGCCTCAGTCTTCTCACCTGAAAATAGGGTATAATTATTAGGATTAAGGGTGTAGTTATCAGGATTACAGTTTGGAGCAGAGACAGTTGGAGAGAATGCTTTGAATTCTTTGATTATCACAGGAGATTAGTTACTAAATTCTTATGTAAGCCTTCAAATCTTTCCCCTGTCCCTTTCCAGCTCCCTTCCCATGACTGTCCTCACCCAGTTTCAGAGTCTTAGCTGCTCATCTGCCTTCCCCACCTCTCGGCCTTCCGAGGGAACTTGGTCATCCATTGTCTAAGGTGTGATGCCCTTGCACAACTTAACCTCTCTGGTCTAGCTAGAAAGTCAGCTTCAGCTATCACAGCCCAAGAAATGTGATGTTGTCAATGGAGCAATCTACCTTCCTTTTGGTTCTAAATTTCCTATTTTGCCTAACATGTAACATAATCTATGGGCAATATTATAGTACTGAGAAATCAATGATTTCCAAGCTGAGTGTGGTAGCATACCTGTAATTCCAGTACTGGGGATAGCCTAGGCTACATATCAAGACTCTCTCAAAAAAAAAAAAAAAAAAAAAAAAAAAAAAAAAACAACAGGCGCGAGAGAGAGGACACAGAGGAAAAGAAGATCCCACAGAACACCAGAGTGGGGCCCAAAACACACACAAGAGAGCGCACACAGCCCCCTAACACCACAGCCACAGGAGATAAGACGCTCTCTCCTGGCTTTTGCAGTTGCATAACAACCCCTCCTCCCCATTGATTTTTGAGGGGCCTGGGCTTGAGTTGTAATGAGGATGTTAGTGATGGTCAGTAGATAATTCTCCAAAAGTATCTTATGATCTGCAAAATTTGTTGCACACCTGTGACTTAATTCACTGTAACCTTGTCGGATAATGTTAAATTCTCAAATTTGATGGGTAAGAATTCTGAAGCTCAGAGTTCAGGGATTTTCCCAAGGTTCTGGTTACCTTCCATTTGTGCCAATGAGCTATACATTAGACTAGAGGGTGAAGTTGGGGTCCGCAGTCATTCAGACTCTATTTCCTGGTCTGTGTTCATCCCGTTTCCTTCATTTTGACTTGCTTCTCCATAGAAATTCACTCAGTACCAGACATTGTTTGTGTCTTCTCCCTTGGTCTTGGTCATGAGTTAGCAGAGGCTCAGGCAGGTAGTCTGCTTGAAGGAAGGACTGGATAGGTCTCTTCTGTGTTCTGGGTGGGCAGCTGGGACTCCTGCATGAAAAGATACTCCAGGAAAGCATGCTTCTCCTGAGGGAGGCCCAGCCCCTTGCCTGCTCAGAGAAGTAACCCGGCAGTTTTTCCGTGTGGTTTGGTCAGTGATGTTTGTTGCACAGGTTCTGAGAAGGCCGCTCCGCTCAGCATCTCTGTCGTCACAGGGCTCCTCCAGCATCCTCAGGCTCTATCTGCCCCACCCATAGGGTAGCGTGGGGCACTTTTACCTAACTTTTCTTTCCTGAATTCTTTTTTTTTTGTCCTGGACTCACTTTGTAGACCAGGCTGGCCTCGAACTCACAGAGATCCACCTGCCTCTGCCTCCCGAGTGCTGGGACTAAAGGCATGCGCCACCACTGCCTGGCTCCTTTCCTTGGATTCTTACAACCTAGATCTGTGTTATAGTTCCTCTGGCCAACTTGTTTTCTTTTATTCCCCTTAGTTTCCATAGTTACCAGCTTTGTGTATAAAATAATAATTTCCCTATCCGTGTCCGCTATTAGAAGTTTAGTTGCTATCTGATGTCGTCTTTACAGAAGGAATTTGATGGCTTTCTTCCTGGCTGTACTGTCAGGGAACATTTCTTGCTGTCCCTTTTCTGTCTCTTACCATCTAGATGGGTTTGGGCTTCAGGTTGTGGCTTCATTTTTCTGGTTTTTTAGGTAGACTCAGCCTGCTTGCTAGTGACCAACAGAGAGTTATAGAGCAAGGGGGTGGGGTTAAGGGAACACGGATCGTAAAAAGAAGCCACATGCCCTGAACTGGTTCTGTCCGTGTTAGCTTTGATTGTGACTAATATAAACAAACAAACTGTACAATTACAAGGGAAGTGGGGTCTGTCAGATTGTGGTTAAAACCAAAAACTTTTGTCATATCTCCTCCTATCTCTGGCTTTGGTAGACTTTATTTGTACCTTAGTGATTTAGGGCCATTGGGGAAGCAGAGACTCATCTGGCTTATTGAATCACTGTAGTATGATACTGTGGTAAATAGCTAGGAAAAAGAACCTCCTTCCAGAGGCTGAGGAAGTGTTAGCCTTGTCTTTTGGGACATAGCATACTCTGAGCCAAGGGACCAGTTTTCAGGTCTTAACTCACTTAACAAATGGCCAGTCAGTCTGTAGTCTGGGTGTCTTCCTTCCTCCTTTTTTTGTTTTGTTTTGAGACAAGGTCTCAACTTTGTAGCCCTTGGCTGTCCTGGAACTTCCTATGTAGACCAGGCTGGCTTCAAACTCCTAGAGAGCTGCCTGCTTCTGCCTCCCAAGTGCTGGGATAAAAGGTATGAGTCTATACACACAGTATCTATCTTTCTGTTTCTCAAAATAAGACATTTCTGCCTTCTTGGACTTAGCTGATAGGGCATTTATCATCCAATAGCTTTCCCACAGGGACTTGGTGTTTCATCAGTTGCTTTGATTGACATGGAAGTGCCAGTCACTGCTTTCCTGGTTTTGAACCTACACAACCCAGCCTTCTGCTTCTGCCTCAGATCTCACTGTCCATCAGGCTCAGTTTTCCTACCTCTGTCTCCCATTGATCTAAACCTTCCTGCTCCACGTGTCCCGGTGCCCATTGTCTTTCTCATCTCTGCCTGGATGTTGCATGTGTGCTGATCTTCCATAGAAGGTGACCTTATTGCCAACATTCCACTTACGATAATTGCTGTCAGAGACCTGTGCAACCAAGCTCCATAGAGCCAGAGGCATGGAGCAGACCTCTCTTGGACTAGGCATGTGGTGAACTAGCATGGATTGGAGTGTACATCTGAAATAAAATTGTAATGTTATTGTGTTAATAAGAATGCTTAAGTGCATCAGGAAAGAAGAGAGCAAAGAACACGTGCCTGGCACCGATTAGAAGTCGTAGAAGCTGGGCCAGTAACTAAATGGGAATAGCAGAAACAGCACACACTTGACAGAGTTTTTTTGTATGCTCTTTATGCTCATCCTTCCAGCAGCCCTACAAAGAAGGGATAGACTTGTACACCAGTTCAAAAAATATAAATTAACAAAATGGCCTCCAAGTCAACTAGATGGCAGTAAGCTTAGGTTCTTAAATTCAGACCCTAGGTGCTCGACACCAGGCCCTAACTAACGCCTTTGCCATCCCTTGACTTGTTCTCTCTGGGTAGAAGTGGACTGTGTGCATAGGGTTTGCTCAGTGCCAGTTCTGTAGGTACCTCTTGGCACAGTTATTATCACCGTCTTCTTTCTTTAATCTAGTGATGTGAATGTCCACTCAAGCTCTTTCCTGTCCTTTGGTTTAGGAGAAAGGATCCTGGGCTATGCTGAGGAGCCCTGCTATCTCTGGTTTGTCATGGAGTACTGTGAAGGTGGAGACCTCAATCAGTATGTCCTGTCCCGGAGACCAGACCCCGCCACCAACAAAAGCTTCATGCTACAGCTTACAAGCGCCATTGCCTTCCTGCACAAAAACCACATCGTGCACAGGGACCTAAAGCCAGACAACATCCTCATCACAGAGCGGTCTGGCACCCCCATCCTCAAGGTGGCAGACTTTGGACTGAGCAAGGTCTGTGCAGGGCTGGCACCTCGAGGCAAAGAGGGCAATCAAGATAACAAAAATGTGAATGTGAATAAATACTGGCTGTCCTCAGCTTGTGGCTCAGACTTCTACATGGCTCCCGAAGTCTGGGAGGGACACTATACAGCCAAGGCGGACATCTTTGCCCTGGGCATTATCATCTGGGCAATGATAGAAAGAATTACTTTTATTGACTCTGAAACCAAGAAGGAGCTCCTGGGGACCTACATTAAACAGGGGACTGAGATCGTCCCTGTTGGTGAGGCGCTGCTAGAAAACCCAAAGATGGAGTTGCATATCCCCCAGAAACGTAGGACTTCCATGTCTGAGGGGGTGAAGCAGCTCTTGAAAGACATGTTAGCTGCTAACCCACAGGACCGACCTGATGCTTTTGAACTTGAAACCCGAATGGACCAGGTCACATGTGCTGCTTAAACTCCAGGGCTGAACGTCTTGGGTGTTTTTAAACTAGGTGAGTGCTTTCTTGTTATTGTACATACACACTCGCTGGGCTGGCTGTGTGTCCTGTACTGGGTTGGACTCTGGAGCTGCAGAGAAAATGCAGGGCCAGGAAGAAGTAAGTCTTGTTGATGCAGACTGGCCCCCAAGTCTTGGTGAGTGGAGATAGGTCAGATTATTTAAGTACAAAATGAGAAGTGAAATGTTTAAGAGGAAATCTTAAATAAGGCGGAATCTCCCAAGTATTTTAGAAACACCTTTTCTTATTATCAAGTAATAAAATTCTCCCTGTAAAATGGTGCTGAAAGGAATACAGTTTTCAGAGAAGGAACTTTGTCCAAACTGTGTTTTTGCTGATCATGTATCCAGTTCTATCCACATGGAACCTGATGCTGGAGGACTTGGAAAGAATAGACCAATTTGGTGTAGTGTGGAATATAGATAATATAGAGAGGAAAGAGGACAGGGACCAACTGGAATACAGAACACAGTATCCAGAGACGTTTGATTTTTTTACCCAGAACAGTTAAGACTGGGCCTGAGTTAGTCTGACGTGTGGACAAGACAGGATATTGGAAATTGGCCACCATATATGCTAGATATTACACATACTGTAAGTCATTTATTCCATTTCCTATTAAATTAAGGGTAGGTATATCTTACCTGAATTCACCTGCCCCCTTTTCTGGATAACTGAGATGACGGGTAGGTGGAAATAAGCTGTACTTAGAGTTTGCTGATGTCTTGAGACACAGTGGTGGGGTAGTGCTGGTTTCATGGTCACAGCCATGGGCCAGCAGGCACGGGCCTGGCTTCTCTGTAGCTCCATGCCTCTGCAGGAGATGACTTGTACCCAGCTGAGCAGCCTGCACCTGTCTTCTTCTCTGTGGAGTGGGCTGGCTAGTGCTTTAATTCTGTTTCTACTGTAGCTTTCCATTTCCATCTTCGCCTCTGCATTTCAAAAAGACCTCTTAGGATTCAGATTTTCCTTGTATAAGAGAAAGGTTGTCATTGGGAAAAGGACCTGAATTTAGGTTAGGATTATGGGATTGTCTCAATTCACTGAGATCTGGGCCTGTTTTTGGATCAGCACATGAGATTTGTGCTGATTTCCAGGGCAAAGAGAAGCGACTTCATCTAAAAGAAATAAATACCCTTGAGAGGAGAGGGAAAGGGTAGGGACTTGTTTTTGGGTGCGTGTCCCAAGCTCTTCGGTTGGTTCCTTTTGTTGTTGTGACGACTAATTTGCCTGGCCTGTTTTGCCCTGACCTAGCAGAGCACTTTGTGTGACTGGTGCCTCGGGCTTCAGTACTGGTCAGATGGGCTGGATCTGCCTAGCTAGAGAATCCGAGGCGAGAGTTAGAAAGGGCCTTCGACCTAGTTTCCCTTCCCATTGCCAGACTAATTTCAGTATTATTGGGAAACATTTTGCTAGATACTGTTTTAAACATAAATGATACAATAGTGGGCAAAACCAAAACTTTGCACTTTCAAAGTTTATATTTCATTGTGAAAAGAGGCTGTGAACACAGATCTTCTGTTAAGAAAGGCTAAGTGTTGTATATAGGTAGGGTCTTTTAGACAGACAAGATCAGGGTGCCTCCCCACCCCACACAGTGCCCTCTGAGCACATGCTAATAGTTGAGGGAATGCATTTTGAAGTGCCCTTGAGAGGAGAGGGAAAGGAGTGGGGGAACTATCGCAGTGATAACAAGCACTATACTGATCTGAAAAATGAATAGTGAGCTGGGAGAGGAGGATGTATGTACAAAAAGAAAACAAGGACTCATTAAGTGGATGAATTAAGCATTTTGTAATCCAGAAGAGGGTGATGGGCCCCTCACCTAGGTCCTAGGACCCAAACTTAGGTCCTTGGGAAGAGCATCAAGCCACTTAATGAGCTCTCTCTCCAGCCCCAAGAAACATTTTTTAGTGCTCTCTTCAGATGAATGATTGGATTAATTACAATATACCAGTTAGATATTGTCTTAGTTACATTTTATGAAAGATAACTCTTCTCAAAAACTAAAGATAACTAGCATTGGTTTGCAAGTCTGTTTACTTCTTGCCTTAGTCATCTCATGGGTTCTGCATTATAACATGGTACAGACAACTCATCATGTAAGTTCTGGAAAACTCCATTGTATTCTAAGGGAGAAGAAGGAAAATGGAAAGTGCAAATGCGTCCTATTATCGTTAGGAAAAGTAGAGCTTCCTCAGTTACCAAACTAGATGGCAGGTTGAGAAGCAGTAATACGACGGCTCTTTCTGAGGAATTTGCTGTGAAGAGGATCTGAGAAGCGTGTGGTAGTCAGAACCCTACAGAGACAGGGATTCATTTGAGGATTGTCCCAAATGAAGGGGCAGAACTTAAATTCCCTGATGTCTAGGTACCTTTCTGTTAGACTTGTCATAGCTGGGGAATTTGAGCATACCTGGTCCTAATACCAACATGAAAAACTCAACTGAATAACATTTAGGTAAGTGCTGACTGAGTAGTTATTGTTGCTGTTTTGTAACAATGAGAAGAGGGAGATACTGCACTTGGGGCTGGAAAGGTAGAATTCGTATGGAGAGATAATGGGCTACAAACAGTGTAGGGATTGAGTCTTATTTCTGTGGTTTATTGGCTGTATGATCATCAGGCAGAGTATTTCACCACTTTGGGCCTTGGTTTTATTACCCACAAAATGGAATTAACCATGCATATTTTATAGGGGTTGTAGAAGTGCCCCAAACTAATTGTTTCAGTTAAGCTTTAGGTGTGTGCTTAGCCGAGGTGGAGGCATGTGCTTAGTAGCTTTTTTCTGTAAGAACATTGGGTGATTTGCCTTTAAAACAAAGCCAACTTGTCCTGTTGATTGTTCTAGAAAGGTATTTAACAAGTGCTCAATAAGGCCTATCTTTCTTATTTGTCACTTTTAGAAGAGAGTAATTTTAGTGAATCCTATCAGCCACAGCCTTATCCCAAGCAGGAAGCCAGCCAGACTGATGTTTCTGGTGCCATAACCCATACTTTCCCAGAGAGGGTGTTGTGATATGAGGGCCTTGTATTAATAACCAAGCTTGTGGTCCAATACACAGATTTCTATTATTAGGGCCTTTTGAAGCCAAGCTCTTGGGTGACATATTTGGAATGGACAGCTAAAGCCTGCTGAAGGAAATCAGATGTTGATATGACCTGAGGTATCTGGAGGGATGAGGTCATAGAAAATATTCTTCACTCAATATGAGGTCTTGGTAGTTGCTTAACATCAAAGAACTAAACCTGGTTTTTGTTTGTTGAAGGTCATAGAACTAATAAGGTGTGGACTTTAGTTTTTAACTCAAGTCTTAAGATATAGTCATAATTGAATCCGGTGAATAATTTAGCATGGACCAGCCTGACTTTGGCTGTCCAGCTCTAAGTAGTCTGAAGTGCAGGCAAGGGTAAGAGAACTTAGTAGGTTTCCCATGGGAGGTAGTTTCTTCTATGTGATTTAATGTCTTGGCCCAAGCCAGGCCTCAAGGAAAGGTGTGGTTGCTAAAGGGCCAAGGCCTTTGATTTCTGTCCCAGAAGCTGATTTTAGCCTTAGTCTCTGGAGCATTGAATTGGTGGGGGCAGGAGGAGGGACTTGCCACTCTGTGGCCTGAAGTAGATTATTGCATCCATAAGAATGAGGCATTTAGTAGAATGATCACTTGGCTACAGGGGATCTATTGATTCACAATTTTGGGGGGGGTGGTGATTCAGGCAGACTTAGAACTTGTCTTTTCTGTCTTAACTTGTTTTGCGTCCCTGTCTCTAGAGCAGGGGTCAGTGCTGTCTTAACCGGGTCTCACTAGCACTCCACAGAGCTGTGCCAAGAGAGAACTTTGGGGGAAGATGCCATATTTGGTTCTTTCTTGTCCCAGGAAATGGAACTTGCCTTTGACTGTGATGACTTTGGCTTAGGGACCAGTGCACACACATGTCCTTGGGGCCTTATCTTTCTAGGTGTTTTGGAGTTTTCCTTCACAAATGGGGAAAGCTGGTTATCAGGTTCAGGCAGCTTCCTGGGGCATCCTTGTTGCCGCCTCTTGATGGCTCCTGCTCTCAGACTTTAGGAAGCTGAGCTGTCAGTTCTGTAATGGGTTGTGTACCCACTCAGGGGCCCTCTGTTCCTGCAAGCCTGATGGATATGCAAACATCTGGAAGGAACAGGCCTGCCCTGGGGCTGTTGGTAGCAAGGCCCAGATGCTGCTCATACTCTCGCTCTCTCTGGCATCATTGAGTCCACCCAGCAGAGATCACATCCCTTGGGTAAATCTGAGGGACTCTGATCATCATCCAGCTGCCAGCAAAGCTGCCTGAAGGTTTAGCTTTCTTCCGACTCTCATCTCTTGGGACCCTAGGGACATGAAGACACTCCCACTGACCAAAGTAATAACTTCATGTTATCAAAGAAGCCTGCTTTGGGAGGCCTGTGAGTTGGGGCCGGTGGCTCTTGCTCTTCATCTCTATCCCTGAATTAACTTATTCATGGAATTCATGTTGTTATGTACTTACTGTTCTACATCATCTGTCTAGTTATGTTTGTCCTCATTCTGTATGAGAGAGCAGCAGTTCACGAAGAGTCAGAATTCGATACAATGTGTATGTGGTCAGAACTTCCATCCCTTCCAGTCTGCCTTCTGCAGTCTCTTGAAAACCACATTTGTGTGGTTCAAGCTTTGAAAGCAGGCCATGAGTTCCCTTCTAGAAAGCTCTGCCCTCATAGGCCTGCATACATAGTTCCTGTGGGTGTCCTCCACAGACACAGCTGCTCTTGGTGTGCATAACGCAGCAGGACGACAGCCATTGCGTTGGTGATGTCTACCTGTGTCCAGATTTCTTTGGGTTACTCTGACACTGCCCTTTGGCAGGGGAGGCAGGCTCGGATAGAGACACCCATATAACCAAGGGGTGTTCTCATTTAAGTGATGCAGCAGCAGCTTGAGAAAAGAAGAGTCCTGGCTGAAGCCTGTTCCCAAAAGTCAGCCAGAAATTTCAGG